ACATGAACAAGAAATAAACTTCAAATGGACACCCCTCCTCACTTACTGACATGGTTAGGTTCCAAAGACTAGGTCTTTTATGAGACAATTAGCATTAGGTGAAGATGGAGGATGATGACATCATCACATACTGCCATACCACTGAGAACTTAGCCCAGCCAAGTTTACATATAACCTTAACCATCAGTCAGTGTTACTCTTGCCTAGCACTTCCGTGTTCATTACTGCCAGACATATATCATTAATACACAAAATAGACAGATTTTTTACCATTATCATAAACATGAAATATCAGATAATGAGACAAACTGGTATATTTTCAAATAACACATAATAGCCCACTCAAATCCCAGCATAACAGGTTATTTGAAAAAGACAAAATTTATTTACACGATTATTCTAGGTCAAACTTACCAGAGTGGTATATGTGAGATAGAGACTGATAGGAAGTAATTAGGGACTCCCATTGAAATTAATAACTTCATTTTATTAATGAATGTTAATGAAATTAAAAGATTCCTTTAAAAAAAGGTTGAAAAACTGAGCTAAAGATAGGGCAAACCTATATACATCAGGTTTTCTATAATGGTCTTGATATTAAATACACTCATTATAATTAGGTATCCTAATACGAGGCTCAGAGAAAACATGCTCACTATAGGTAAGTTATACCTGAAAATACTTTCAATATCCCGAAGTAAGATTTAGAGGTGAACCATTTTAATGGTTCAATTAATATAAATTAATATAACTTGATTCTAGACTTCTATTAATTTATAAGACAGATACCTCCACAAAGGCCTAAAAAGAGGGCTTAAGGTACACAACAGGATCTTAAAACACATCCATGTAGAACACAGAGTCTGGCCATTGGAAATGATAAAAGCTTATCAAGATGGGCTGTGGGTATCCTTCTCTGGGAGTTTTTAACAAAGCATGATATTATGTTTTGAAAAATTTCAGAATCAAGAACAGAAAAACTTACAAAGGGCCCGAAAGGTAACCAGATAGATACAAGGTGACAGGGAAGGCTGGAACTTACAAGGAACTATAGCACAAAAGCAGTGTTAATCCATTCAAACCCAATACATTTAAGACAATCTGTAGTCTTAAATAATGGGAAAATCTTTGAGCACTCTGCCAGTCTGGTGCCCCATTCAGATACACTCAATTTAACAAGTATTTGTTAACAAGAATGTCCACACTGGCTATGAAATCTAAGATTTGGTCTAAAAGCTGTCTTGAAGTTCCTTCTCATTCTACCGCTCTAATGTTTTATGGTGAAATAGGATGAGCACACTGACAATATAAAAAACTTTAAGACACAAAAAGAGTGAAAAGAACTCAAGCAGGTAAAGACAGAGGTAGAAGAAAATATAAAGAATTCAAAAAGAAAAATGATTTCTTTAAAAATAAAAAGACTTTAATGTGCATTAAATATAATAATATTCAGTCTACAAATTCTCAGAAACACAGCTAAAAAAGTACAAGTTATTAGGAACTATGTTAATTTTGAAAATAACAGTTCATCTTTGAATTAGATATCTGACCAGAAGCTGCTGTAAGATAGGAAATGGCAGGTTATGGAGAGCACGTTTACATGCTTTTTGCCATACATTTGGGCTTTTATCTAAAACTTCATAAAAGGAACACTTCATTAAGACTAATTTAAATTATAAAACTACCAAGAACAAAGAAAACTGGTATAGGTGAACCAATCTCTCTTCTCCAATCGGCTGGATGGCAGGATTACTGAACAACAGGTAGGATCTTCTTTGCCCTTTATAGTTGGTGAGGAAGCCAACTATGAGAAGGTTAACCGAATTGTCAGTAGAAAGGAGAAAGCAACGCTGCTGGGTCTATGGGCAGAGTACTAAGATTTAGAGCACTGGATGCCTTGAAAGAAAATGAAGTATACATAAGTATAAAATATATATTAAAATTAGAAAATGGTAGCGGATAATCAAGACTGTCTTAATTATTTCAAACAGCTCCTTAATTTGAATATGGAATACAGTTCTATACTGTTTTTTAAGAGTAAAATTTCATTTATTGAAGTGCTAATAATTCAGTTCGATAAATTATTCTACATTTTGTTAAATCCTGGCAAGGCTAAGAAAGGGCTCCTAATACATATCACAAGTGTAAATAACACCTGGAAAAAGGCTATTTAACCTAAGAGTATTACAGACTTAAGTTTATTTTTTATAAATAAATGACTGCTGGTTACATTCCATAGGTAGATCCAATAGATTTTGTGACTTTAAAATACTAATTCTGCTTCTATTTCACACCGGTATGCAATGCACGTTTTTCTGATAATTTACATTGGTTTCTACTCTAGTTAGGTCAAAACACTGACATTGACCTTTAAAGAGTTATCCTGCTAAAAGTTTGGAAATAAATTTCTCTTCCTTATTCTTATAAATCCTAACTTTTCCAAAGTGCCTCACTGTACTAGAAATTCAGGGTAATACATTTCCTGTGGTCACTTAGGCCCCATTCAAAAAACTTCTTACTCAAAGTTCTGGAAAGCCCTTGTTACGAAGCATTTCACCCATACCGCAGCCCTGTGGGACAAAAGACTCTAACAATGGTGTTAACCATGGCTGTGCCTTTACCAATAATTCTACTAACAAAGTTTTGACCGTGTAGGTGACAGTGGTTTATTTTAACAGTCACTTTATATGTTTCTTATTTAACTTTATTTCTTAAAGTGGTAAGAATAGAAATTCTTTAACAGGTAAGAACTGTTCTCAACAGCTGTCTTAAAACTAAATGACTTTGAAAACTAATTTTTCACATACCTTAGTTTAATATGGATCCTCTGAAGAACTATCTATCTCAAGGGCAGCATTTTCTTCCTAGGCATGAAAGGGTTTAAAATTATGTAAGGTTAAAGATTTCTTTCACCTTAATTTATCTCAACCAGGGATTCTCAACCTTTGCCAAATCATGAGCCACTAGAAGACCATCCAATGCCGGCTCATTATATATAAACTTCTTCCTGTTTTAAAAGTCATTTGCATAATCATGGCCTACACGTAAACTTCTGACGTAGGCAAGGTTGGGGTACCATAATCTGGAAGTTAAAACTCCAATCATTTCAAATTGTCTACGCAGGTCTACCTAACTCCCTACCCCAAGCAAATAAGTATCCCCATCTTGTTTCTTCTCTTTTGCCCACTCTCACAGTAAGTCTACAAGGGAGAGTGGGGAATAAAAGGGTCTAGACATTCAGTCTCCGAATAGTCGTTTTTTTAAGAAATTAATTTTATCACACCTGTTATTCCCTCAATAACACACATCCGTAAGGTGAGAGGAACAGTGTCCTCTAGTTCTCTCTTTTCCTGGCAGTTAAATGTTGATTTACTCAGATGTTTGCTTGGAATTCAGGGATTTTTAAGCTTTGCAATATCTAAATAGGCTGAGAATTCCTGGTGTAACCAAAAATTGAGTGTCTAAATTTAGTGTTTTAGCAAGAAGGATTAAATTTTATTTTTTTTCTTATGGTTAGTATTTGTAAGAAAAAGTCATGATTACAAGTATATTTTACTGAAAAATTTTACATGCAAATGATCTAAAGAGTTCTCAAGAAAGAATTTTAGCAAATAAGTTTCTGAAATTATTTGGCTAGGCTATTAAAATTACTCTGACCACTAGATAAAACTCATAAAAGTAAATTATAACAGGAAGAGAAATTTTTCCACTAATATTGAAAATGTTGGTTTAGTTATAAATACTTAAATTTCCCAGAATGTGAGGACTACTAAATATCCAGCACTATGAAAATTATAGGACTTGAGATTTATCAGTGGCTTCATTTCTAGTCTGCAGAAAGGCTATGATAGGTACCACTCTATACTGCCAAGGTGGAGGGGCTTAATATTAAGTTATGAGCTGTACTTTAATATTATGCTATAATAAGAGAACTATCTGGCATTGAAAGTGAAGGTCAAATGGTTTATAAAATATGATAAGACTCTAAATGATACAGAATTGAAGGACGATAGTAAGATTAGAGCACCAGTTTTCTTTTCTATCCATTTTTCCCCCATCTTAAGGCAGTTTTACGAATGTGAAAAGCAGACAGAACTATGCACTATAAATACATATCAGATACACACACACATACACAGATTCAAAGGGATGATGGAATGACTCAATAACCCATCTGGTTTGTCAATTTCTGTATCAGTATGAAAAAGCAAGTTTTTCTAAAATGTACATGTAATAATTAAATTGCTATCCTTCCAGGACCTGGGCAACCTACTGTTTTATAGCTACAGAAATGTAGAGTTATGCTGTTGGGCATTAATTCTTCACAAAAGCACCACTTAGGCACTGGGAATTAAGAGTGAAGTTCTCTCAAAAGACTAGTGAACAGTCAGAACAGTTAAGGTCCTACCAACTGAATAAATGCTACATGAACTTGAAGATCTTTAACAAACTTTAGAGAGATGAACTCCCTTCCCTTCCAAAAAAGCCTCAAAACAAAAACCAAGAACACACAAATTACTTTTTTAATTTTTAATCAAAATTTGAATGATTATAATAAAAAAGGAAAAAAAATAATTAATATCACCCATAAGTAGTGTGCTCTTTTAAAAATTTACCTGTGAGACCACATGGCTAACAATTACTTTAAAACAAAGATGTGAAGGGCAGGGAAACTAGATTAATGGGAATGGAATGGAAAATAAGGAGACAATTCACACATTGTGAAGAATGTAACCAATGTCACTGAATAATCTGTATAAAAATTGTTGAATGGGAATCTAAACTTCTGTACAAACCTTCACCAAAAACACAATAAAATATTATTCAAAAATAAGAAAAAAACTGATGCCCTTGGGAAGAGATGCCCAAGATCATTAGTCATTAGTGAAATGCAAATTTAAAACACAATGAGGTACTACTTCACACCTCCTAGGATGACTAAAAGAGAAAAAAAATTGAATCATCATCACTGTAGTGAATAAAAATTCATGAGACAGAATAGCATGCTTTCTTTTTATTGGTTTCTAAACCTATTTGTACACTTAATACTCTAGTACTGATTTCACAAACAGTATAAATGAGTGTACTGCAGTGATATTAAACTCCATCTACTCACCTGACAAGGAACAAAATATTGCTTCTGAAACAATTACTAGTTATACAATATTATAAACTAATAAACACTATAAATACGAACATTTTAACATTTCAATGTATAATATCAATAACATCCTACGTTTTAAAAAAATTGGTTAAAACATTTCTTAAAGGTCATGCAAAATAAACACTTTATGAAATTTTTAGGTTACACTCAAACATCAAGGCAGTGAAACACAGGAGAGCAACTATTTAGTGCAATGACTAGTCAAGTAAATAATTTATTCAGTATATTAATAAAACTCCACTAAGTGAGACACATACAAGTATAACACTAAATTCAGATCATCATACATCTACAACCCATCATCTAAAATCCTTTCTAGCGTGACTTAGAATATAATGCCAGAATTAACTCTACATCAACAAAAGCTACGTTAAAAAGACTAAATATTTTCACTGCATGGTAAGGGGACATTTCTAGCCCACAAAATACTTAAAATGTGATCATTCTCTTAATTCTGCTAACAATAAAAGAAAGTTACAAAGTTCTATAATCACATAAGTTAGATCTTCTTTCACCCTTGCTCTGTTACATTTAACTCTTAAAAAAAAGTTTCTTTTTCTTATGATTCTTTTCCAAAATTAATAATGCTGATTTAGGAACAGATGAAGTAGATAAACTCTGCCTTGTATAAGAAGCTAATGATTTAGTTTTACCTAATTCTTTCCTTGAATTGCCATAGACCTTTCCGACACAGTTATTTTCTCACTCACTCATGTCAAAATACTTATCAGTGCCTATTATTACGCTGACTCTCCAGAGAAATAATTCATGCTTTTGTACAGTCATGGCTAGTCTCACTAAGAAAAGTTGGGCACAAAATTGAAGGCGTCGCAGAGTAGATTAGGGTGGGTTCTTGGGCACAGTGGATGGTGGTACAAGCCAAGTCTGAGAGTTTGAGAGATCATCCACGTAATATGGCGGTTACTGACCATTCTCCTCAGGTCACTCTCATAGTAGCTCCTAATGGCCCAAAGTTACTGGGGAACCACTTTGAACGCTGTTGACTCACTTTCTCATCATTTGTTTTCACACTTCCTGATGAATTTTCAAAGCCCTCTTTATTATATATTATTTATTCAAAGTGATTTGCGTTACACAGAACACTGGTTCTCAATTTACAAGTATTTACCTTTAGTCTCTGGAATACATCATAATCTGTCCATTCCAACCTAAAAGATTAAAATGCTTAAGGGCAAAATTTGCTTCTGGTTCATCCTACACCATGTTTTCTAAATAGCAGGGCTTTGAATATTTGATGAATGAATATCTTATAAAAAAGAATCTCTAGCTCTTAATATTCTTTGATAAACTGAACCTTTTAAATTTAGTATTTCTGACCTACTTTTATACCAGATCTCATCAAAAAAAATTTTATTGGGTTATGTGCCAGTGAAAAGTATAAGAAGAGTAGTGAGTTTTCAAGCTTCTAATTACAAACACAATGGAGGCTGATTTATGAATCGTTTCTTATACTTTCCTCTACTCTCTTTTAATAAAGACCTTATCATGTGTTAATTATTTGTGAATGAAATGCACAAAGATCATGTGCATGGATGGATCCACTATAAAACTCAGGAAAATTGTGCCATGGGGGCATAATACTACTTCACTTATTTTTCTTAAAGAATGCTTTCCCTTTCTTCTCCAAAACATGCACTATCAGAAGAGGCTACTGCATGGAGCTCTGAAGAATCTTTTGAAAGCCTTGTGTAACTTGAGCGTTGGCTTCGTTTATGTGTCATGCTTTTTAGATTTTCATTCTGAATAGCAGTTGGGTTGGAACTGGGACCAGGCCTCAGAATGACTTGGGAAGTATCCCTAATTCCTTCCATTTCATCAAAATTTTGATTGGCTCTGTTAGCTGGAGCACTATTGTTATTCAGAGTCACGGTACTAGGTGTTCGATTCAGATTGTAGGCTTTTTGGCATGTTGGCCAATTTTCTTCAGGGCTGCTGGCTATCAAGCTACATTCAGAAGGGCTTTTCTTGTCTTCTGAACAAATGGACATCCGAGCTATAATTGGATCTTGAAGGCCACTCAAGCTATGTGGTATTCCCCGTTTTCCACTGTGACGATCATCCTCAAGCTCTATGAGATTTGCCTTTTCAAGCTGGGAATCATCAGCTGCTTCATTGTGAAGAGAGTGATTGGGAGAACTTTCACTGGACCTCACTCCTGAATCTGAGGAATCCTTTTTGTCAAGGAGTGCATCAGATAAATATTCTTTTGCCTTAATGAAGGTTCTAATAGGCTCAGCACTGTGTTCTGGAGATTTTGATACTCTCTCTACTTTTCCTTCAGCTTTTTTATCTTTATCATCTTTAAGCAGTGGAGTATTATCTGATTCTTCTGTCCCAGATTCATCTTCATCACTTGGAAGTTTTTGGTAGCGCAGTCCACCTCCCTTAAGCTTCAAATCTGTCTGAAAGAGACTTGACCTTTCTGAGGATTTCTTGCTTGGGAGAAGTTTACTACCTGACTGATCAGATTTTTCATCCTCTTCAGTGATAGGATCCAGGGGTGAGGCATCGTTAGTGGAAACACCTGATGATGAATAATCTAGAACATCTCCCCTCTTCATTAAAAATGACTTCCTTCCATCATCTTGCTTTGGTTCACTATCTTTCCCTTTTTCTTGTTCCAGATTAGAATGAATGGAACCCCCTGATGAGCTCTGACCCATATAATATGTGCTATGTGGAGAAGATCTGCCACTAATTGTTGTAGAACCTGTACCCCCTTCTAACTGAGACATCTGAGCAATATATTCTCTATAGGCATCTCTATACTCAGCCTGCACCTTATCAGTAAGCTTTGAAATTTCAATACTGGAATCCTGGGAATTGAGACTTGAAAGACTTGGGGTTCTGCGTGTTTGTGACTGTGAAGACAGAAAAAAAAATAAGAATTCAAATAAGCAAAAAAAATAGCCATAAAAAGCATCAGCTTAGAAAATACATGTGAACACTAAGAATAAAAATGTCCTCAATTCATTAAGTACTTTACAAAAGAATTCTATATAACACAGTCTAACAAAAGCTATGAACTTATAAATAATTCTATTGTTACTAGAAGATTTAACAGGAATTGAAATAGAATTAGTTTATTGTTAATATTTAAAAGTATAATAACTAAAAGCTGTATTAACAAATAATCTGAGCACTCATCTTCTTATAATTTCAAATTTTTAATTTTTATTTATTTAAGGAAAAAGGCACCTCCATTGATAAAATACAAAATTTCCTCTTGGAAGAGACAAAAAGAAAGAGAGATAAGTCTCAAGAAACAAAACATTTGATCTTCAGTGCATGGTATAGACATTTCTCAAATTTCATGATAGAAAGTTTCTGACAAATTTCAATTCAGGAGAAGACAATGTATTAAAAACATATTTAAAAAAGAATTAAAAATAGAGTGCAATAAATAAGATAAATAAAGGATCCAAGTGAATAGAAATAGAAGCCATGAGGCCAATATTTGGGCCTTAGTAAACAGAGAAATGAAATGTTTTTAAAAGTTACATTTCCAGTATGAAGTTCTTAGATTAGAATTGCTTTAGATCCCAGAAAAGCTACTAAATGAGGGATAAAAAGTATAGAGTAAGAAAAAGAAAAGGGAAGTGGAAGAAAATGAATCAAAGAAGCTTAAGAAAAAACAAAAGCAAAAGATAAAACAAAGACATAGGAGCAAGGCAGTCTTGCATGGGGCAAAACTCTTCTTTCTTCCTTCAGAAGGTCTTCGACAACCTGATTAAGTGCTGTCATTGATCCATTAATGTGGCAGTTTTCAAAATGCAATCTTTGTACCCCTTAGAGTCTCTCTAAGGCCCCTTTTCAGGGGATTCATGGAGTCAAAGCTATTTTCATAAGAATACTAAGATGTTATTTGCATTTTTCACTCCCATTCTCACAAAAGTGGACAGTAGTTTTCAAGAGGCTACATGATGTGCATTATGTATTGTTTTATCAATAAATTTAATGCAGATGCAAATATGGGAATCTAGTTGTCTACTATCAAGTCAGGCATTAAAGAGATTTTTAAAACAACACCATTCTCACTAATTTTGTTTTATCTTGGAACATAGTTATTTTTCATAAAAAGGTTATTTATGTTGACATGTAATTTATTTTTTAATAAATCAAAAAATAAATAATTAAACCATTTTTCTCAGTTTTTATTTCTAATGCAGTATGGTAGTTAAGGTTACATGTCAACTTAGCTGGACAGCCAAATGTAGCTATTCTCCATGATGAGACTGGTAATCAACTCCATGGTGGAATCTACTGTGAGCTGCTGAGCTGCCTTAGGGATGTGGGCTAATCCCAGTAAATAAGAAGATACTTTGAGAAAAGTCTGGAATTTTTTACCTGCATGTAGCTGAATCTTCATTCAGCAGCCTGCCATGTTTCCTGCTGATCTTGGGACTATCTCTGGACTTGAACTAGTGGCCTGCCATGTTTGGTAATCTTGGGACTGTGCCATTTGTCAGCTTTGGGTCTGTCAGCCTCAGCAGCCAGCAACTGCCTGAATTAAGAGATGCTTCCAGTTCTAGCGGGCCAGAAGTCAGTGGAAAAGCTGAAGTCAAAGGTCAAGGGGCCCTTCAACCAGCCCCTAGAGCTGGCACTTTAAACTCAGATTTCTAGCCTCCTAAACTGTAAGAGGGAACTCTGATGGCATAGTGCTTAAGGCATTTGACTGCTAACCAGAAGGCCAGCAGTTCAAATCCACCAGCCACTCCTTGGAAGGAAGACTGGGCAATCTACTTCCATAGAGATACTGCCTTGGAAACCCAAGTAGGGGTCACTATGAGTCGGATCCGACTCATCAGCAGTGAGGGTTTTTTTTTTTTTTTCTGACTTAAGAGAATAAAAGCCCTGTATGTTTAAAACCACCTACATGTGGGATCTTCTGTGAGAACAGCAATAGAAAATCAATACATACAGTAAGTACCTACAGCTATAATTTGCATAAACATAGCCCTTTGGGGTCATCAATAATTTTTTGCAGTGTAAAGGTATTCTGAGATTAAAAAGACATTAGAAAACTGCATTAATGAGATGGGTCCGAATTTCTGGTAATTATGGGAAGTACCAAGCACAGAAATCTGAGGATGAGGACTTCTTAAGAAATTTAAAAAGGACTCTCAGGGAAGGAAAAGGAACTACAGTTAATGAAACAGACAGACAAAAGTATGAAGTGTGGCCTATCTTGTTTTAAAATAGGGTATTAAAAAAAGAAAAAACAACTCTCAATAGTAAAATAGTTCCCCAATTTAAAGAAATTAGGTAAGTAGTATGGAGAAAAACATAAATGGCAACTATACATGTAGAACTTGCCAGATGGAATACAAATCGACTACATCTGTGGAAAGAGGCAAAGAGAAGTTCAATAACATCAGTCAAAACAAGGCCGGGGGCCGACTGTGGAACAGACCATCACTTGCTCATATGCAAATTTAAGGTGAAGCTGAAGAAAATGAAAACAAATCCATGAGAGCCAAATGATGACCTTGAGTATATCTCACCTGACTTAAGAGACCATTTGAAGAATAGATTTGATGTAATTAACACCAATATCCAAAAAACAAATGAGTTGTGGGATGATATCAAGAACATCATACACGAAGAAAACAGAAGGCCATTAAAAAGACAGGAAAGGAAGAAAAGATAAAAATGGATCAGAAGAGACCCTGAAACTTGCTCTTGAATGGACTAGCTAAAGCAAATGGAAGAAATGATGAAGTAAAAGACCTGAATGGAAGATTTCAGAAAGTGGCTCGAGAAGACAAGGAAAGAATTATAATGAAATATGCAAAGACACGGAGTTAGAAAACGAAAAAGGAAGAACACTCTGTTTCAGTGCATTTCTAAAGCTGAAAGAACTGAAGGGAAAATTCAAGCCTTGAGTTGTAATACTGAAGGATTCTATGGGCAAAATATTGAATGACACAGGAAGCATCAAAATAAGATGGAAGGAGTACACAGAGTCACTGAACAAAAAAGAATTGGTAGGTATTCAACCATTTCAGGAGGTAGCATATGATCAAGATCCAATAGTACTGAAGGAAGAAGTCCAATCTGCACTGAAGGAACTGGCAAAAAACAAGGCTCCAGGAATTGATGGAATACTCATTGAGATGATTCAATAAACAGATGCAGCAATGGAGGCGCTTAATTGTTTATACCAAGAAATATGGAAGACAGCTACTTGGCCAAGTGACTAGAAGAGATCCATATTTGTGCCCATTCCAAACAAAGGCAATTCAACAGAATGTGGAAATTATTGAACAATATCATTAATATCACACACAAGTAAAATTTTGCTGAAGATAATTTAAAAATGGCTGCAGTAGCAATGTTGAAAGGAACTTCCAGAAATGCAAACTGGATTCAGAAGAGGACACGGAATGAGGGACATCACTGCTGATGTCAGATGGATCTTGCCTGAAAGCAAAGAACACCAGAAAGATGTTTATCTGTGTTTTACTAACTACGCAAAGATATTGACTATGTAGATCATATAAGGAATGGATAACATTGGGAAGAATGGGAATTCCAGAATACTTAATTGTGCTCATGAGAAACCTGTATATAGATCACAAGGCTGTCATCCAAACAGAACAAGATGATACTGCATGGCTTAAAATCAAGAAGGGTGTGTGTCAGGGCTGTATCCTTTCACCATACTACTCAGTCTGTATGCTGAGCAAATAATCTAAGCAGCTGGATCACATGAAGAAGAACGAAGCATCAGGACTGAAAGAAGGCTCAATAACAGCCAGCGATATGTAGAAGACACAACCTTGCTTGTTGAAAGTGAAGAAGACATGAAGCACTTACTGATAAAGATCTAAGACTATAGTCTTTAGCATGGATTACACCTCAACATAAAGAAGACAAAAATCCTCACAACTGGACCAACAAAGAACATCATGATAAATGGAGAAAAGACTGAAGTTACTGGGGATTTCATTTTGCTTAGATCCACAATCAACACCCATAGAAGCAGCAGTCAAGAAATCAGACATATTGCACTGAGCAAATCAGCTGTAAAAGACTTCCTTAAAGTGTTAAGAAGCAAAGATGTCACTTTGAAGACTAGGTGCACCTAACCCAAGCCACTGTATTTTCTATTGCCTCATATGCACGTGAAAGCTGGACAATGAATAAGGAAGACTGAAGAAGAGTTGATGCCTTTGAATTACAGTGTTGGCGAAGAATACTGAAAATATCATGGACTGCCAGAAGAAAAGACAAATCTGTCCTGGAAGAAGTGCAAATCTGTCCTGAAATGCTCCTTATAAGAGAAAGTGGCCACACTGTCTCTCATCTACTTCGGTCATGTTGTCAGAAGTGACCAGTCCTTGGTGAAGAAGCTCATGCTTGGTGAAGTAAAGGGCTAGCGAAAAAGGGAAACACCCTCAATAAGATGAAGTGACACAGTGGCTGCAATGATGGGCTCAAGTGCAGCAAGGATTGTAGGGATGACGCAGGACAGGGCAGTGATTTGTTCTATTGTACACTGGGTCGCTATGAGTCAGAGCCGACTGTATGGCACCTAACAACAACAACAAAATGGAGAAAAAGATAATCTAAAAAAATTCTAATTACCAACCAAACCAAATAAAACCCCTTAAAAATGGCTGAACCACCAGGCACTGGTTTTGCTAAATACTGCTCTGTTTCAGTATGGAGCACCCTTCCTTTTGTTTCTTTGTATCTTGCTCTGTTTTTTGGCTACTTTACTTTTCTTCTCCTCTTACTCCTGCTTACGTTTCTCTTACTTTTTGTTTCTATTCCTGCTCTTCATCTGTCCTCCTTTTTCTAATGAACTTCCAGAGAAAGAACTTACCTTTACGTCACATCAGATAAGAAAAAGAAACAACTATCCATATAGGATGTATTTATGTACTGAAAACCAAACTACGATGCTTAAGTTTACATGGTAAGTTTTCCATTTATTTTAGTCAATGATTAATGAATTTAATTTAACAGGAAAATAGCAAGAGAAAAACTGAACTTTCCTAACCATAGCTAAAGTAGCCAGGTTCCTATTTACTCTCTATGCCATTAACCTGTTTTATTATCTTCACAGTTCTTAGCAACTTCTAAAGTAATTTTACTTTTCTCTTTATTTTACTGACTGTCTCAATCAAGAACAATGTAACTCAATGAGAACACGGAGTCATGCCTCTTGTTTACTTAGGTGTTCATTAATATTTTCTGAAAAACTCTATAAATGCACCAACAAATTTTCAGTGAATTAAACATTGCCCTCTTATTCTTTAGCAGTAATATGAAAAATGACATAAATACCTGCCAACTTAAATTACTGTGACGTGGGGCACCTTCATCTAGGCCAAGTGTATTCAGTTCTTCAAAGCTGAAGTTCAGTGTGTAGGGAGTTTGATTGGAAAGCTCAGTGTGAGGCAACTCGTTGTGTGAAGGGCGACGAGCAGATTCACCATGAGGAACTGGGCCACTGCTGTTTTCATTAAGCAAACGTGGGTCTTCAGGGACTACTTGGTTTTCTGCATTTCTCATTTCTAGTACCTAATGAAAGAAAAAATATCACTAATATTGACAATGACAAATCACATTTTAGAAGCTTTGGAAATAGTTTTAAAAATGAAATATCATATAGTTATTATAATGGAAATCAGAAAGCATACTTCCTGAAGTGAATTCTAATGAATTAGTACTGCATTTGCCTAACTTGAATTTTAATTACAATTAAAAAAAGCAATGGCAATAATTATCATACACATACTACACTTTAATTTGACCATCACGTTATTAGTTTAGCTTAAACTTTTTATTTAAGAAAAAACTAAAATGCAACCAGAATGAAAGCCTGGAGAATTGACAGGAGGCCTCTTTCAAAAATTTCAGAGTGAAATACTCAAAAGGCTGTGTGTATTCTCTATAAACCAGAGTTCTACATTAGTGTAAAATGCATTTTATGTATTTAATGTGTTTATTTAATATAGGAGCTCTGGTGGCATGTGCCTAAGGCATTTGACTGCAAACCAGAAGGCTGGCGGTTCAAACCCACCCACAACTCCTCGGAAGTAAGGTTGATATCACTTCCTAGTGATATCACCTTGGAAACCCAAGGAGGAGTCGCTATGAGTTGGATCCGACTCGACGGCAGTGAGCTTTTTTTTTTTAAAAAAAAGCATATTTTTTTAGACCAGTAGTAATTACAGTGGCACTGGTTTTATGGAATGCTGAAAATAATTTTATAAATATAAAATATCTTACTGTGCTTCTGAAAAGATGCCAGTCTCCGAAATTCATATTCATTTCTTTCTTCAGTTCATCAATGTTACACTGAGCTAACACACGGCCATTTATATTTGCCTGAGTTAAAATAAAAATTATAAAGACAAATGAAATGTGAAATATTCTGAGTTGGTAGTGATTAAAAAGTACACTCATATTTAATTTTAAGAAAGTCATTAGAGACTAGAAAAGACTGGCCTAAAAAAGGCTATCATCTCATGTAATAATATAATAAACAAGCTGAATTTGAACAACATAATCTACCCCATATTTTTCCAAGGTTCTTAAGCATTCTAGAAAAACAAAACATTCTTCAGGAGCCAACCAAGAGCTAATCCTCCCAAGTATTTCCAAAAATACCTACCCTGTTATGAATAACTTCAGATTGTTAGTTTTTCTCCTCTAGTCTTATAAAATATGCACATGAACACAAGCTGCTAGAAAGGGAGAAACACTTTTGTCCTCAGAAGTGTGTCAGTTACTGACAAAGTCCTAAATGAAGCATGCTCTGACAAATTTGTCACCTTAGATAATTTTAGTCACAAAGGATGTCCATCCATTAATTTCTAAGTCTACCAATTTCACAAAAATAATCATTACTATTGGGTCTCTGTAATTCTAGTCTTCTCCAAATAAGAAACAAGAGAATTTTCTTTATTAATAACAGGTAGCATGTGGATTACATGAAATGTAAGATCTAATTTTATTAAATGTGGTAAAATTATGGGATATCTGGATAAAAGTGTATAGAGTAAATCTGTGATGGAGATTCAGTCGTAAAAATGCAAAGAAATCTGATGCACTTAATATTAAGAAACCAGCTGTTAGTATGAACTTCAAAAAGCCAGAGACTTGGGAGTAAAGAACTAAGTGAGAAGAAAACAACTATACTGATAGAAGCAAAAAACACCAAAAAGGATTTATGTTGGAGCGATCACTCTCTCCTGACACTAACCAAGTTGCTTAGAGTCAAGTTTGTGCAGCAGAAAGGCAGGGTTTGACTCTTAAACAAAAGGATTAGCAGTAACTAGCTGTGTAAGAAAAGTTATGTTATCTGAACCTTTCTGATTAAGGATCAGTTAAGACTCGTAACACTTTAACTACTTATGCTTATAATTCTTTAAAAAACAACTTTTATATGTCAATCTTTAAAATATGTAAACAGATGCTTCTTATTAATAATGTTCTACTTTACTACAGTAAGGAGCTCTGGTGGCTTAGTGCCTAAGGCATTTGACTGTTAATCAGAAGGTTGGCAGTTCAAACCCACCAGCCACCCTGTGGAAGGAAGACTGGGCAAGCTACTTCCGTAAAGATTTACTGCCTCTGAAACCCAAAGGGGGATTGCTATGAGTCAGAACTGACTCAATGGCAGTGAGTTTGGTTGGTTTTTTGTCTGTCTGTTTGTTTGTTTTACTATAGTACTCTGATATTAAAAGTCTAACTTAGTGGAATTATCTATTATAACTGGGACTTAGTAACATCATATATAGGAAGCTTTCCTCACAATGCCACACATCACTGTTCACTTCGTGGTAGCTATTAGAATTGCAAGAAAAAGATCTAGGAGAAAATAAAATTCCACAAACATATGAGCCTTGCAAATCCAAACTCACGAGATTTTACCATGTGTAATCTTCATCACACATACTATAAACCCACTGCCAACAAGTCAGTTCTGACTCATGGTGACCCTACAGGACAGATTAGTACTGCCCCATAAGGTTTCCAAGGTTGTAAATCTTTACAGGAGCAGACTGCCACATATTTCTCCTGCAGAACAGCTGGTGGGTTCGAACCACCAACCTTTGGGTTGGCAACTAAGCATTTTAACTTCTATGCTACCAGGACTCCTACAGAAGTAGTATAAGACAAGAAAATGAGAAACTGGGGAAAATTAAGCAAATGTAGTTTACTTTATTAAGTCACACAAATAAATATCAAAGAACATATAAGATGTTTTGTGTTCCATACCAGAAAGATGAATTATTATTAATCTAAATGTGAAATCCCTTAGAGCCCTGTATTTCTCACCATGACATTTTTTTTCACTTGTATCAGATCATTTGGGAGCTCTGGTGGCATAGTGCCTAAGGCATTTGACTGCTAACCAGAATGCTCGTGTTCAAACTCACCAGCCACTCCTTGGAAGAAAGGTTGGGCACTCTTCTGTAGTGATGCAGCCTCGGAAACCCAAGGAGGGGTCGCTATGAGTCAGATCTGACTTGACGGCAGTGGGTGGGTGGTAGATCATTTACAGCTACTTTCTTTTCTTTTATTCATTTGTTAAAAAAAGGGGGGCGGTTAACTGCCCACTTTTAGAATACAAAAAAATAGTAAGAATCATGTTTCCATTTAGAGCTTTCTCCTTTCAACAGAGAATCCATCTTGGAAGCTAAATATAAAACTACCTATTTCCCACAGAGTCCTGTCTCCTGCACTCTCTGTTGTATCTAGAGTTAGCATGTAAATAAATGTGCATCTCACCTTTTTAATTGTTGTGCAATACTGAGGCAGCATACTCTGGTCTAGTCCTTCTATTTGTCTCAATTTCTCACATACTGCATCCACATTCATTGAATTCAGCGATATTATTGGTCCAGAGGTTGGGCCTGACCCCTAGATAAGTTTGGGAAAAATACATATATAAATAGCATTTAATGCCTGATATATGAGGTCACATGGGAGAGAAGAAAAACACTTACGAAGTTATACTATGAAGTACCCTGATTAACAACAAATTTAAAAACTGAAAATAGATGTTTGTAGTATGGTAAGGAAATACCATCATAAACCATTACACCAATATAAACATCATCTTACTCTTTTTATATAACCTAAAAAAAAAAAAAAAAAAAAAAAAAAAAAAAACCAAAAAACTGCATCAATAGAATTACCTTTAATCCAGTAATGAATTACAAATGTCAAAAAAGTAGCAAGCCACTTTTTGCAGGTATGTTAGCTTTTATAGGATATGGGGCATCACAGAATAAATATTTGAGATCTGACAGAGTTAGAACCAAGTTGAAAATTGCTGACTTTCATCTAAGGACTTATTTTTTTTCCAGAAACATAAAGTTGATTGTTTTAACTTCTGGGCTAGAAAAGAAGTATGAAAGACATGTTCTATTCCCTTATTCTCAGTATACTTCCAGTATCTTTAGTTTGAAACTGCCTAATGGTCAAATAGCAAGTAGTCAAAAATATGATGTATATATGGTTATAATTATAAAACTTAAATAACTGAAACTTAGTTTTAATAGCCTTTAAACATATGAAAAGTTAATTAACACTGTATCTGAAACAACATAATCCAATGATTCAGCAAAACTGGAAAGGAAATAGTTAATAAAAATACGAAATTTTATTTTATGATGATTCACTTCTCTTTTACATTTTTTTTTTCTGGTGTTAATAAATATTGTCCCATCTTTCTGGAACCACCATCCTTTCTCCCTGGAACTAATGACCTATCTTCTTCCAGCAGTTCCAAAGAGCTCACATTACCATCTACCTCGGTTTACTTCTATTCATTTTTCTTTTCAGATATTGTATTTTCTTCATTTAAGTCATTTCTGCTATTTAGTTGAAAATTTAATGAAAGTATCATCGTATGACCTACTTCTTTGTAAATATACTGATATTTTTCATTCACAATAAATCTCTATTACATAGTTATATTTTCTGCCGAAATTATTAATGTTCCACTATCTATTGCAGAAATTTAAAATGGTTTCTATGAATTTTTAATAGTCATACTTGTTTTATCTTTTCTTTCTCTTTGAAGTAGCTGTACCAATATACACTTCACTTACCATACAGTTCACTCATTTAAAGTGTACAATTCAATGGTTTTTAGTTATTTGTAGTATATTTGCCATCACAATCAAGTTTAGAACATTTTCATCACCCTAAAAAGACACCCCCTTACCTGTAGCAGTTACTCCATTTCCTCCCAACACCCACCCCTCAGCTCTAGGAAGCCATTAATTTACTTTCTGTCTCTACAGATTTGACTCTTCTGGACATTTCACTTAATTGGAATCATACTTTTGTGTTTGGCTTCTTCCACTTAGCATATTTTCAAGGTTCACCCATGTCAGAGCATTTATTAATACTTCATTCTTTTTTTAATGAGTAACATTTAGCTGATCTTTAATTCTATCTTTTAAGTGTTTTTTTCTTTGCCTATGCAATGTTATTTTACATTTTCCAATAGCTTTCTGTTACATACAAGTATATGCACATTTCCTGTATTTTCTTTTTTAGTTTTTTATTGTGATGTGGGTGCAAATTTACAAAGCAGATTCATTTTACACACAACAGTTCATGCACATTTGCTTTCACGGCCCCAATTACAATCGCCAACCATACAAAGCTCTCCTCCCCTCTCCTCCCTGTGACTATCCACCCCTTCCCTGTGCCCTTCTTATCTATGTATTCCTGTCTGACCAGCCTTCCCTCTATACGAATGCTTCCTTTCTGATGTCTCACGGTTCTTTAATTTAGGGGGTACATCTCCCTAAGATAGGTGGGTACATCTCCCTGGGATAGGTATTCTGCTTGCAGGTCTTTCTATTGTTGGACTAAGAGTTTGTCCATGGAAGTAAGTCCAGTTCCAGGCTCACAGGATAACCCAGGGCCAGTCTCAGGGGTTCTACCAGCCCCTATCTGACCAGTAATTCTGTAATTCTGGTCATTTTTCTGTGCTTTAATTTTGGTCCACATTTGTCCTTCCACTCCACCCAGGATTTCCAATTCTGATCCTTTTCCAAGCAGTTGGCATTGGTAGCCAGGGACCACCTAGTTCTTCTGGTCTCAGGGTTGTGAAGGCTGAGGTCCCTATGGTCCATCATATCCTTGGACTTACTGTTTTCAAATGACTGATTTTCTTCACTCTTCTTTGCTCCAGAATAGAGGGGACTAATAGATGCATCTTACATGGCCACTCAATAGCTTTTAAGACCCCAGTTACTACTCACCAAAGTAAGATGTAGAACAAGACTTCTATGTACTGTGCCATGCTAATTGAGCATGGTGTTCCCTGAGACTATGGTCCCAAGTCTTTCAGGTGCTTTTATTCCTCTGACTGTCTCTTCTATCTGAATACATTTATACTTGTTTACATATTTTTGGTTCAAAAATCACAATAAAACAATTTTATCAACTTTGGATTATAACCAATGAACAATTTGATCATGTACTAGATTATAACTCATAGAATAAAATAAATATCCAAGAGTCCATACTGATATAAATAAATAATGGCATAAATAAATGAATAAGGGAAAAGACACAGCTTTTCCTCACAGAATTCTGATAAATAAATGTAGAAGAGGGAAATAAAAAATCACCATCAGGCAAACACCACCACCACAAGGGCCACACACAAGATCTATGGATGGAGGCGAAAACTAATGGACAGAAGTTTAAGCAGATACAAAATACTTACACAGTTTCAAAGCATTTCCCCAGAGGTAATTACAAAGGGAAAAATAAGAACCTCATAGTGCTGACACCTCAGAGATACCACCAGTATTAAGACAAATGAACATCATATACCTTCTGATGTGATGCACTGACAAGGCAAAAATACCATTTCTGTGGTATTCTTGCCAAAAATGTGTAACATTTTTCTAGTCATGAGAAACACATGTTGAGGGTCATTATACAAAGTAATTGGCAAGTATTCTTCAAAAACATTAATTAAGGTCATAAAACCCAAGGGAAGACTGAGGAACTAGGACTAGAGAAGACTAAGGAAAAATAAATGTAACTGGGATGGATCTTAGACCAGAAAAATGACATGAACAGAAAATCTATTTCAAATAAAGCCTGTAATTCAGCTAATAATATTGGACCGATTTTAACGCTAAAATTATTTTGAAAGCAAAAAGTTGTTTTTTAAAAAAAATCACGAAAACATTACTTATAATTGTGCTTTTCTTTAAAAAAAAAGACAAGTATAATAAGACATGGACCAGACTAAGGCAGACAGCTTAAGGGGCAAAAATGTAAAATGTTAAGAGTATCTTATTTCCCTAGAGAATTTGAGAATTCAGCAATACAGACATGCTAATAACATTAACCCAAAAATCATGCCCATTGCCACACAGTCAATTCTCACTCTGACCCAGTAAGGACAAAGTAGAACTGCCCCATAGGGTTTCCAAGGCTATCTTATGGAAGCAAACTGCGACATCTTTCCTTCCAACTGCTGACCTTTTTGGTTAGCAGCTAAGTGCTTTAACCACTGCACCACCAGGGCTTCTTTAATATCACTACCCTTTAAAAGACAAAAATTCAACAAAATTTTACTTTCATGATTCTTTAGAACATTTAGATATTATGTTCTTCCCCTCCTGAGAATCATGTACATACTGCCGTGGAGTCGGATCCAACTCACAGAGACCCCTCCTTGGGTTTCCGAGGCGGTATCACCACGGAAGTAGATTGCCCAACCTTCCTTCCGAGGAGTGGCTGGTGGGTTTGAACCACCAGCATTCTGGTTAGTAGTCAAATGCCTTAGGCACTATGCCACCAGAGCTCCCGAGAATCATGTAGAATATATACTTATTTCTGAATGATTTTTGTGGGATGAAGAATTACTTTACCCTAAGAATTTGGTCTTTGACCTTGATTCCTAGGAGGTAACCTCTAAACCCCTGGGATTTCCTGAGTGACCTGACTGTCTTTAAGTCATAGAGAGCTTATGCCAACAAGGAGACTCAGGTTACTGGGCACAGAAGAATCAACACTTGACAAGAAACTACCTTCAAGGAGCAGAGGGCTCCTGGAGATTAAGTTCAACCATGTGGGCAATGAGGCAATCAATCATGCCTACGTAATGAAATTTCAATAAAAATTCTGAACACTGAAGCCTGGGTGAACTTCTTGGGTGGTGACAGGTACTGATACATGGGAAAGTGATACAACCATGGGGACATGTAAGCTCTGCACTGGGGACCCTCCTAAGACTTGCCCTGTGCATCTCTGCATCTCTTCTCTTGCTGGCCTCAGCTGGAATCTTTTATAATAAAATTTTAAGTATAGTGTTTTTCGGACTTCTTTGAGTTATTCTAGTACATTATTAAACCTGAAGTGGTAACGGAAACCCCTCAACTTGTAGCCAGCAAGTAATAAGTGCAGTTACCCTGGGGAACCCCTAACCTTCTGTCTGGTGTCCTGAGGGGTTAGTGGGAACTTCTGAATTTGTACCCAGCATTTGAGAAGTGAGGGTGTCCTGGGGACCCTCAAACTTACAACTGGTCTGGAGCCTTGGGCAGACCTGGCAGTTTGGAGGACTGAGACCTTTAATCTGTAAGGTACGACCTACTGCACTGCAGTCACAATAGGAAAGAAGAGCATAAAACTGAACTGATTTTAGAACTTTTAGAAGCTTTATAAGGAAAGACAGACAGACATATGGACATAAGAGCCCTTTAATTCCACCAAAGCTTTGGTCTGACTCTCGATTATTTTTAAGTTGGGCTTCATCAATATGAGGGGATAATCAATAAGTATTTCAATTTATTGTGTGAAAGTAAAAATTGTGTTCAAAGCTTCAGTTTTGATTTCCTTGACCTGTCTGAATGCAAAATTTAACAATCAGTGAAAAA